TTCTCGACGGCCCCTGCGCTCCCGACCCCTCCCCGGTCCTTAACCGGGTGTTCGCGACGTGGCAATGAGAATCGAACGGAGCCGACATTCGGAGCTGCACCTCTCGCAGCTCTCCGGACACCGCCGGCCACCATCGCAGCCCCCTGCGCGGGGGGGGTCCCGTGCGTAACGCAGAGCTGCGAGGAGAGATGCGTGGCACGGAAGCTCCGTGCGCTCCGGAACGGCCCCGCCGCTCCCCTCTCCCCGCCGGACCCTTCCTCCCCCCTACCCCCCCGCCCCCAGCTCTCTCCGCAGCCCCCTGCCCCCCCGTGCCGCTGCCCCCCCCGCGCCCCCCCAGGTAGAGCGCACGGAACGGCCGCCTCGTGCGCCCGCCGCTCCACCGCGCTGCGCCCCACGGGTGGCGGGGAGGGGAGTGGGGAAGGAGAGGGAGTGAGTCCGGGGGGGGGTCATGGGGGGGGTCACGGGGAGCTGCGGGGAGTGGGGTGGGGGGACGTGGGCTGTGTGTTCTGCGTGAGCTGGGGTGGGAAAGAGGGGGGGAATGGAGAGGGGAGATGTCGGGAGGAGAGGGGAGAGGAGGGATGGGGAGGGAGGTGCGGATGGGGCTATGGGGACGTGGGGAGAGGTGGGGAGAGATGGAAAGAGATGGAGGGATGGAGAGATGGGGAGAGATGGAGAGAAATGGGGAGAGATGGAAAGATGGAGAGAGATGGGGAGAGATGAAGAGAAATGGGGAGATGGAGAGGTGGGGAGAGAGAGAGGGATGGAGAGATGGAGAAATGGAAAGGGATGGAGAGAGAGAGAGGGATGGAGAGATGGAAAGGAATGGAGAGATGGAAAGGTGGAGAAATGGAGAGATGGAGAGGGATGGGGAGATGGAGAGAAATGGGGAGATAGAGAGTCAGAGACATGGATAGACAGAGATGGAGAGGAGTAGAAATGAAGAGGGATAGGGAGAGGTAGGGAGAGATGGGGACATGAAGAGGTGGAGATGTTGGAGAAATGGAGAGGTGGAGACATGGATGGACAGAGGTGCAGAGGTGGAAAGATGGAGGGATGGGGATGTGGGAAGATGGATGGAGAGCTGGAGAGCTGTAGAGATGGAGACACGGAGAGGTGGGCAGGTAAGAAGATAGGCAGAGAGAGATGTGGACATGGAGGGAGAAGTGGAGACATAAATGGACTAAGATGGAAAGGTGGAGAGGTGGAGAACTGGGGAGATGGAGATGTGGGGAGATGGAGACGTGGAGGTGAAATGTGGAGACATGGAGATACAGGGACATGGACATGGGGAGAGATGGAGACAGAGAGATGTGGGAGATGGAGAAGTGAAGAAATGGAGAGGTAGGCAGGTGGAGAGATGGAGGGATGGGTAAAAAGGGGACAGTGGAGAGATGGATGGACAGAGATGGAGAAATTGGGATGGAGAGATGGACAGACAGAGGTGGAGAGGTTGAGATGGAGGGGCTGAGATGGAGAGGTGGGTGGACAGAGATGGAGAGATGGACAGACAGTTGGAGAGATGGATGGGCAGAGACAGAGAGATGGGTGGACAGGTGGAGAGGTTGAGATGGAGATGGAGAGAGGTGGAGAGAAGGATGGAGAAGCTGAGATGGAGAGATGAATGGACAGGGATGGAGAGATGGATGGAGAGATGGAGAGGCTGAGATGGAGAGATGGATGGACGGGGATGGAGAGATGGATGGACAGATGGACAGGCTGAGATGGAGAGATGGATGGACAGGGATGGAGAGATGGATGGACAGAGGTGGAGAGGTTGAGATGGACAGAGATGGAGAGATGGACAGAGATGGGGAGAAGTGGACACTTCTGCCTCTATAGAGACAGAGAGACACAAGTGAGTGAAGAGGCAGAGAGGTGGACATGGAAAGAGGGAGGCATGGGGCTGTGGAAGGACAGATGGAGAGGTGGAAAGATGGAGGCAGAGAGGGGAATGAACGGAGATGGAGAGGTAGGCAGGTGGAGAGCTGGAGATTCCCCCTCCCAGCACCCCATGGGTGTCACCTGTGTCCCCCCAGCCCCCTCCCACTCCCCCCATGAGTGAAACCATTGCCCTCCCTTCCCTCCCCCACCCACCCAGCCCCCATAGGTGTCATCCCAGGGAAGGTAAGGGATGCTGATGTTCCAGGGATGGGGATGCAATGCACGCTGAGGGCAGAACAGCGATGCTGTGCATCCCATGGGCTGGATTTCCTTTTGGGTTCCCAGCATCTGGTGGCTGTGGGGACAGTGCTGGCTGTACTGCTGCCCCCTTCCCCACATCCTAGCACTGCTGGGGCAGCTCTGGGGGGAGGGAAGAGGGGATGGATGGACAGACAGAGGGATGGACACAGCTGTAGGAATGCAGCAGGGAGGATAGGTGGGAGGAGAGGGGAATATTGGGGATTTGCTGCTGCTTCTCAGCATAGGCAATGCTGGTACTGGGATTGGTGATGGGCATTAGTGATGCCTGGATGCAGCTTCCAACCCAACAATTCTATGGTTCTGTGGTCTGTAAGGATCCTTACAACCCAACTATTGCATGGTTCTACGGCTCTGTGATCTGTAAGGACCCTTCCAACCCAACCACCCTATGGTTCTTTTGTCTATAAGGACCCTTCCAACCCAACCACTGTGTGTTCCTGTGGTTCTATGATCTTTAAGGACCCTTCCAACCCCACAACCCTATGGTTCTGTGGTCGACAAGGTCCCTTCCAACCCAACCACTGCGTGTTCCTATGGTTCTGCGATCTTTAAGGACCCTTCCAACCCAACCACTGTGTGTTCCTGTGGTTCTGTGATCTTTAAGGACCCTTCCAACCCAACAACCCTATGGTTCTGTGGTCGACAAGGTCCCTTCCAACCCAACCACTGTGTGTTCCTATGGTTCTGTGA